GCAGTGCCTCAGGCAGTGGCCGTCAGCGCGGCCTCGGACGAGGCTGGGCAGCCCGACGGGTCTGACGCCAGCGGCTGGGAGGGCGAGGCGGAGGTTGACGCTGCGGCCTACGGGCGTCGAAGACGAATGGGAGCAGTAGGAGAGGAGGCAGGAGGAGAGGACCGTGAAATTCTGGCGTTGCAATTGTTCACTGTAGACGTTTTTCGCCCGGTTTTGGGCCCCAGGGCACATATCGATTTGGCTTTAAACATGACGCAAACAGGATGGGGTCCGGAGTTTGGGCCGTGGTTTTTTGCGACGATGCCATTCCCATTCCCAAACCGTCTTGCGGTGTTGGGTCCTCGCTTGGGAGATACAGCGCCCCGCGTCCCTCCTACTCCTCCTCGTTCAGTTGTGGCTACGTCGTTCAGTTGTGTGAATGCCTATCTCTGGTTCAGGATTGCTAAGGCCTCCAGAGCTCGCGGGCCCCACCCCGTGATTCTCGAGTGGACACCCTCCCACCGTGAGGCCGAGGACATCCGCACGCCTCAGGATCTGTGGTGGGCGGTGGGCAATGAGTGTGCCGACGAGCTTGCATCCAGGGGAGCGTCCATAGGCTGGCCTGAATTCGTCCAGAGGGTCCCCACCACTGATGTGGCGGACACGGAGACTTTTTTGATCCGAAAGCGTGCGAGGAGGGCTCTGGCGGAGTCCATTCGGGCGGACCCGTGGACCGAAACCCGTCCCTCGGCCCCCCGCCCCGTTCGGATCCCGAAGATCGAGCAGGCCAAGAGAGCCTCCCAGCATGATTGGCGTAGGCTACTGCAGAAAATGCCAGGTGAGCGCCCTTGAACGGATGGCGGGCTCCGGGAGGCCAGGTTTTGAACGAGTCCCATGCCCTGCAGTACTGGGGTGAATAAAAAATAGTTTTTTGCAGTAGGTGCGGGATGTCAGCGACCACCGATCCCAGGCACCTCTGCAAGCCTTGCGTGGCTCCAACCCCCAGAGGGAAGCAGAATCTGGCGCGGATAGCTCAGGGCCTCCACCCATGTGCGGAAGACCCGCCCAAGATTGTCACAGAAGCCAATCTCGAGGATCTGCGCCAATAGTTTCAGTTGTCGTCGACGCTCGTTGTCGCCAGCCCTATAGTACTATAGTCCTCCTCCACCTCCTCATCCTCTTCTTCCATTTCCTTTCCTTATGAATGAATTCTCCTTGTTGCACCCCGAGGCCAGTTTTTAGAGCGGGCCGGGTCCCCTGCGTTTCGCTTGAGACTTCCTCACCACTTGCGACCCTGAAGCTTACACGCTGACAGCAGATTCACAGAGGGAGGGCAGGTGGTTTTCCAAATGTGGCTCGCGCCTAGCGCCGCGCACATTCGTCTTGACAAATTGCAGAGTTTCACGGATCAAGGGTGGGTCGCTTTCAAAATGTGGCTCTCGCGTTGCCGCCGCGCATTTTCGTTTTAAAGTTTGCAAGAGATTCACGGATTGAAGGCGGTTTCTTTTCAAAATGCGGTTCTCGCTCCAGCGCCGCGCACATTCGTTTTTAAACAATTACAAGAGCTTCAAGGATCGAGGGCGGTTCTTGTTGAAAGTGTGATTCTCGCTTTGGTGCCGCGTACCTTCTGTTTTAGAAACAAGAGTTTTAGGGATTTCCATGGTCAACGCACCAAACATGGCGTGTTGGAAGGATTTAGAATTGTGAGGGTCAACCATTACGTTGATTCGCGATGTTGAAGTCCTAGGAACGGCGTTCTTGTGCGATTCCGGATCGTTCAGACGCAACCGTCAGGTTGATCTGTGGCGTTGAAATCCCGAGATCAATTTTTCGGCATGCGTCAGGGTCTTCAAACGGTTGTCTTCCAACGGGGCAGTTCCCTCAGCGGAAATGAACCGCTGTAGGAGTCTATGAACAGGGAGCTTGGAGGGAGGGTTTATTCCAATATCGTTGCTGATCCTTGGGTTTACGAGCGTTGGTATGCGTCCGCCCCACCAGCACAGCGTTTCCATGGCGCCAGCTGCTTCGAGCAGGGGGACGGGTGCGTTCCCGAAATTGGCGCCGGGTCAGGGCTGCAATTTGTCAAAGGCCGTTCGCTCGGCATGCGCGGCGGCGCCGCGTGATGCGGGGGTTTCTGATGATTTTATTTTGACGACGCTGTCATCGATTACAAACAGTTTCGCTCGCGGTTGCTCTTGGCGAAGCGAGCCGCGTTGCGAGTCTTGCGCAATCGAGGCCACCTTGCCGGAGGAGCGCGGTTGTTGGACCCGCCTTGCCAAGAGGACGGATGTTTGGCGCAGGTGTGACTACTTGCGCCTGCACTTCCCGATGCGCGAGTCGTCCGAAGTGGCCGAGATGGTGTTGGCGAGCCGCGGCCAGTGGCGAAAGGAGGCGGGCCTGCGCGACGCGCCCGACCCCAAGGGCGACCGACGGAGACGCGCTGGGGGGCGAGGACAACGACGAGCCCGCCACCGCCGACAGCGCCCCGCGGGACGCGCCCAGGCGTCTGTTCGACGACCTTGCGCGACCGCGAGGGCCGCGAAGGCTGGCTGGAGGAGCGCGGCCGCAAGCGGGCGGGCAACACCGAGAGCGCTGGTCCTTCCACAACATTTTCTTGCACTCGCCTCTCCCCTGAAGTTGCCGGCAGCTGCCCCGAAGGCGGCTACAGGCAGCAACGTGGCGAAACCTCGCCAGACTCACCCAGCGCACGAGGCGGCCGCGAGCCGGCCAACGACGGCAACGTGGAAAATTCTCGCCAGGCCCACCCAACCTTTCAGGAAAAAGGTAACACACCCGTTTGCAAGCGCTGTGGCATATATAAGCTACGGAACAAAACGAATTTCGCGAAAAACATAACCATCGCGCGCTTCGCGCGCGCTTACGATCTAGCCAGGCTGGACGGTCGAACTCTTGGGGGCCTCTATTCCATGATGCTTTTTGGGCTCCCAAGAACCACGACGACGGCCCGAGTGGCTTCCAAGGCTGCCCACGGTCCACCCACGGCGGCCTAGACAGGTTAGAGAGGCACTTTGGGGGCCTTTCTCTCCGCCGCAGGGGGAGGTGAAGGGGTTCCCTGGGGGAGAAAGAGGAGGAGGAGGAGGAGGAGGAGGAGGAGGAGGAGGAGGAGGAGGAGGACGCCGCGGAGGAGGAATAACAAAAGGAGGAAAAGGAAGAGGAGGAGGAGGAGGAGGAGGAGGAGGAGGAGAAGGAAGACGTGCGATGTTTCCTTGCTTGGCAATCGTAGCCAAGTTGCCAAGCGAACTTGAAACAAACATACATGATGGAATTCCTTTTCTCTTTCAAGTGTCATCGGAGCCTCCCTTGGACTCTTTCGGGCCTCTTTGGGACTTTTTGGGTGCCTCCTGAGGCTTCCCGGGGGTCTCCTGGATCCAAGATCTCTGGTTCCCGGCTCACGTCCCCGATCGTGGGCCACGGTTGGGGCCCTCCGGGGCCGTGTTGGGCGTCTCTTCGGCTGTTTTGAAGCCGTGTTGGGGCGCTTTTGAAGCCTCGTTGACCGTCATGAAGCGGTACTCGTGCCCTCCTGGTGCGTTTTGCGGCTTCGGGAAGCGGAATCGGAGGGCACCAACTATACACCAACACCGATCCTGGCCAGGATCGGTGTTGGTGTATAGTTGGTGCCTTCCTACGGAACAAGCGGAAATGCCAAACGTGTTTTGCGTTTGTTCGAGCTGTCTTGGGAGACCTTTTGGAGGCCTCTTGGATATCTTGGGGGGTCGTTGGGCCGTCTGGAGTCCGTCTTGGGCGTTTTGGACCGTCTCGTGGCCTTCGACCTATCCACCGTGCCTAGGTTGTGGATGAGAAGCCTCTTGGAAACTCGTTTGGATATCGCTGGAGGCTTCTCAGGGGCCTCTTGGAAGCAGTTTTGGAGGCCTCCTTGGGCCGTTTGGGGGCCTCTTGGGGACCTCTTGGGGCTTCCAGGGGGTCTCTTGGGGCGGAAGGCTCGAATTGTCGGTTCGTGTTCCTCTTTTGGGGCCCTTCGTGGATCCATCTTGGGATCCTCTTGGACCATTTTGGGGAGCCTGTTGGGCCACGTTGGGACGGTATCGAGAGCCTTTGGTGCCATCTTGGTGCGTCGGAAGCTCATGGCGCGAGAACGCGAGAAACATACAACACACACATAGAACATGACATGGTGTTGCCTCTTTGGGCCCTCTTGGGGGTCCTGTTGGAGCGCTCTCGGGGCTTTTTGGGGGCCTGTTGGGCTGTTTGGGGGGCCTTTGGGCGTTTTCTGGAGCCCTTTCTCTTCCGGGACGAGGAGGGGGCCTGATCCGGCGACAGGATGTCAAGGTCTTCGACAAAGCCGCCATCGCGATCAACGCCCACCCGTCACACATCGGCAATCATGCCCTGCGGATACGAGGGGCCACGCGGTGCTGGACCTGGAGAGGCTCAAAAGGTTCGGGCGGTGGAAGTCCAGAGCCTTTCCATGTCTACCACTGTGAGGCCCCGAGCCACATAAGGGATCGTTTGGGTCGGGATGTGGAACGCGTAGCCAGCGGCGGGAGGACCATGGCGGCGCGGTTCTCGGACGCCCCGCCGTGGCCCCAGAGGAGAGCCAGGCAGAGGCGTGGGTTCGCACCCGCTGGCCCGGCAGCCGCCATGTTCCAGTGCTGCATAAGGAAGGGAACCCGTCGCTCTCCGCCAGGATGACCCCAGGCAAGTTCCTGAGTGACCGAGCGGCCAGGGGGCAACTATTGTGAACGGGTTCGCAGTGGGTGGACGGCGGCCCATCGCTCTCTTTGCTTTGGCGGCTCCCCTCCCGGACCAGCCGGGCACTTTTCGGCATTATTGTGAAATTACTCGCCGAGCGCGATCCCCTACTCGCAAAGCGCCTGCTCGCAAACATCCGAGAAACAACAGGTTGGCCCTTGTGTAACGCAATGGATCGCAAACCCCCCGCGGCGGGTCCAGGCCATTTGCGAGTAGTTACTTTGCGAGTGGTGGAACGCGTTTATCTAATTACGCGTCAGGGCCCCAAGCGCGCAGGGGTGGACAGCTCCAGTCTCGTGAGTTAGGGCGCCATTATAGCGCCCCTCTGGGTTTGGCAGCACCAACCCCAGCCTTGACGGTGGTTCTCCCCCCAGAATATCTGGGTAGGTTGACAGGGTTAGACCGGCTGAACTAGGCGCTTTTAGGTGGTGGGCGGTGGTGCACGCTTTGTGACGCTGAACCGTTTTCTTGCGCCACGTAAAAACGGTCGCTCTTTAGGGTTTTTTTGTCCCACGTTCTTACTTGGGATCATTCACTTGATTCGGAGTAGTGCCTTTCAGTTAAAATATGGAGCCCCTGGAAAACGTGCGTGTTAATACGCAGGTTTTACGAAAAGGATCCCCAGGCTTAGCCGTAGGAGTGTCCTTCATTTCTCTTTCCTTTTTTCGAAACCCCTGAGCTCGAGTCGTCTTTCTTTTTCCCCACATCCTGAGTGGGGTTCTTGTTTTCCCAGAACACCCTCTCCTTCCCACCCACCTCCCGCTCCATCTTGCATACAGCACAATATTATTCCTACCACACACACCATACCATACCATAGTTCCTACCACACATACCATACCATATTATACCATACCATACCACACCATACGTACCATACCGTACCATACCATACCATGGCGTACCATAGCATACCAGACCATAGCACACCAATGCCACACCGTACCATACCATACCATACCTCCAGTACCATACCATACCATATCATACCATACCGTACCATACCATACCTACGAGGAGGGTATCCGAAAACCATATTATTTACATGGTTTCGTGCCCCTCCCACCCTTCCAGGGAGGCCCCGCCTGAGCGAGGAGGGTATCGGAATACCATACTATTTACATGGTTTCGTGCCCCTCCCACCCCTCCAGGGAGGCCCCGCCTGAGCGAGGAGGGTATCGGAATACCATACTATTTACATGGTTTCGTGCCCCTCCCACCCCTCCAGGGAGGCCCCGCCTGAGCGAGGAGGGTATCGGAATACCATACTATTTACATGGTTTCGTGCCCCTCCCACCCCTCCAGGGAGGCCCCGCCTGAGCGAGGAGGGTATCGGAATACCATACTATTTACATGGTTTCGTGCCCCTCCCACCCCTCCAGGGAGGCCCCGCCTGAGCGAGGAGGGTATCGGAATACCATACTATTTACATGGTTTCGTGCCCCTCCCACCCCTCCAGGGAGGCCCCGCCTGAGCGAGGAGGGTATCGGAATACCATACTATTTACATGGTTTCGTGCCCCTCCCACCCCTCCAGGGAGGCCCCGCCTGAGCGAGGAGGGTATCGGAAACCATACTATTTACATGGTTTCGTGCCCCTCCCACCCCTCCAGGGAGGCCCCGCCTGAGCGAGGAGGGTATCGGACCATACTATTTACATGGTTTCGTGCCCCTCCCACCCCTCCAGGGAGGCCCCGCCTGAGCGAGGAGGGTATCGGAATACCATACTATTTACATGGTTTCGTGCCCCTCCCACCCCTCCAGGGAGGCCCCGCCTGAGCGAGGAGGGTATCGGAATACCATACTATTTACATGGTTTCGTGCCCCTCCCACCCCTCCAGGGAGGCCCAGCCTGAGCGGGGAGGGTATCCGCAAACCATACTATTTACATGGTTTCGTGCCCCTCCCAAGCGGGGCCCCGCCAAAGCGAGGAGGGCATCAAGAAAATGGGTCCCACGAAACCGTTAATCTCTTTATGTGGGGAACTCCGTTAGCATAATTTTTCCACCCGCCCGCCCTACAAGTCACCGCCACAGGGCGGTGGCGCGCGCTCTGCGATGCTGAAGCGCTTTCTTGCGCCATGCAAGAACGGTTCCCCCCTTGGGGTTTCCTTTCCCACGTTTTTACTCGGGCTTACTCGCTTAATCCCTGAGTATGTCCCCTTCCTGTTGAAAGGTTGAGCCCCTGGGAATCCATGCGCACACACACACACACACACACACACACACTCTCACAAACGCACACAGACGCGAACACACACACACAGACACACACACACACATACACACACGCACATGCACACACTCATCGACACATACGCACACGGACGCACACGCACGCACGCGCACACGCATGCCGCAGCAAGCCTCAATGGCAGACCGGCGTCGCAGATCAGCACGACGGAACATGCGTTCTTCGTTTTCGTTTGGTCAGGTTTCTGTCATGTCGGGGGAGTGCATCGGGGCGCTCGGCTGAACAAGTGCTACTGGCGCACACGCCTGAGCGAGGAGGGGCGGGCCGTAGGGGCAGATGGAAGAGGATTCGCGCTGAGGTCATTTGGCTCGGCATGGCCAGCCAATCCTACCTTGCTTGAGACGAGGCATGGGCGGCTTGAGGAGGACCGCATGCCGACGACCACTTCTTTCAGAGATGTAAGCGGAGGTTGAACAGCGCGACAGTCTGAGGGTGTAGCTGGAAGGTACCCAGCATATAGCAACCAGTTGGTTTGTGAAGGGGGTAATGTGACGAGGGAGTGCGGAGTCGGAGAGGCAGAACAACATGTTCTTAGCATGATTACCCATTCGAATTTGCAGAAGCACGTATAGTCATTGAGATAAGACGACAGATGGTTGCCCCCCCGCAGCTAAAGCAAGGCACCAGCTGCAACGCACGCTGTCCACCCGCAACCGCGCGTCGGGCCAGGTTGAAAGCACTCCACGAGCCAGTTATAGGCAAGCGCAAATGCCCCCAGACCCCCCGCCGACCGTCTGTGACTGGCGGGAGGCCAGCTTCTGGATGCGAGCGGTGGTAATCCAAAGTTCGTCCCGTCCCCCCAGGAGCCATCCGACAGCGAATTTTGAGTGGTCGAAGGTTCTCCCCGCCACCTCTAGTCTTCCCCTAGGGCGGAGGGATGAGGAGGGGGAGGGGGAGTGGCAGGAGGGGGAGGGAGGGAGCCAGGAGGATGAGGAGGGCGGGTGGCAGGTGATGAGAGGCAAAAGGAGGAGGAGGAGTCTGTGGAGGCAGGAGGGGGGCGGGGAGAGGAGAGATGGGCGGGATCGGAGGGAGGTTCGGTGTAGAAAGGACGGAGGGACAGGGAGGCAGAAGGAGGAAAAGGGGATGACAAGCAGGAGGAAGAGAATGAACATGATGAGGAACATACAGAAGAGGAATACGGTTGAGGCAGGGAGGGTGAGGGAGCAGGAGGGGGAGGAGGAGGAGGAGGAGGAGGAGGAGGAGGAGAAGGAGGAGAAGCAGGATAATGACGGCATGGACCTCATGTTTGAAAGCTTCTTCGTGGAAAGCGTATCGGCGGGGGTTGAAGTGAGTCCCTCGAAGAGACACGCCGGCAATAACGGAATATTTTGCGCGCGAACGTACTATTCATATTGAATTTCGTGTTCGTGTTCGTCCTCGAGTTTGCTTTTCTTTCCCCATTCGTATTTCCCTCTTCACCTCCGCCCGCTCCCCCGTCCTTTTCCTCCTCCTCTCTCCGATTCATTGTTGCGTCCTTCTCCCTCATTGTCCTCCCACCCCCCCCGTCTCCGCTTCCTCTTCTCTTCCGGCCACCCGCCCTCCCCGGGCCAAAGCTTTGCAGGCTGTCTCGGGCTCAGCGGGAGAGACGTCACCGATAGTTCTCCCGTCCTTGCCCCCCTTCGCCTTGCTTCCTCCTCCTGCTCCTCCCAGTCCCTCCCTTCCCCTTCCTCTCGCCCTCCCCCCTCTCCACCACACGCCCCCTTCCCTGCACGTTTTCTCTCCTCCCTGTTCGCTCCCCCGCTCCCCTCGGGGCGCAGGCGAATAAAAGGGCGAGCGGGCAGAGGCGGTGGAGAGCGGGAAGCGGGAGGTGGGAGGGAAATGGTTGTCCGTATCTTTTGGCGCGTAACGGTCGCTACATTGGCCGAACCCTTCTTCCCCCTCCGCTTCGGGTAACGGGAACGATCGTGTGTGTATGTGTGTGTGCGTGTGTGCGTGTGTGCGTGTGTGCGCGTGTGCGCGTGTGCGCGTGTGTGCGCGTGTGTGCGCGTGTGTGCGCGTGTGGGCGCGTGCGTGCGCGTGTGTGCGCGTGTGTGCGCGTGTGTGCGCGTGTGTGCGCGTGTGTGTGCGTGTGTGCGCGTCTGTGCGCGTCTGTGCGCGTCTGTGCGCGTGTCTGCGCGTGTCTGCGCGTGTCTGCGCGTGTCTGCGCGTGTGTGCGCGTGTGTACGGGTGTGTGCGCGTGTGTGCGCGTGTATGCGCGTGTGTGCGTGTGTGTGCGCGCGTGTGCGCGTGGTTTCGCGTGTGTGCGCGTGTGTGCGAGTGTGTGCGCGTGTGTGCGTGCGTGCGTGTGCGCGTGTGTGTGTGTGTGTGCGTGTGTGCGCGTGTGTGCGCGCGTGTGCGCGCGTGTGCGTGTGTGCGTGTGTGCGTGTGTGCGCGTGTGCGCGTGTGCGTGTGTGCGCGTGCGCACGTGTGTGTGCGCGCGTGTGCGCGTGTGTGCGCGTGTGTGCGCGTGTGTGCGCGTGTGTGCGCGTGTGCGCGTGTTTGCGCGCGTGTGCGTGTGTGCGTGTGCGCGTGTGCGCGTGTGTGCGCGTGTGTGCGCGTGTGTGCGCGTGTGTGCGTGTGTGTGCGCGTGTGTGCGCGTGTGCGCGTGTACGCGTGTGTGCGCGTGTGTCCGTGTGTGCGTGTGTGCGTGTGCGCGTGTGCGCATGTGAGCGTGTTTGCGCGTGTGTGCGCGTGTGTGCGCGTGTGTGCGCGTGTGTGCGCGTGTGAGTGCATGGGTGCGTGTGTGCGTGTGTGTGTGTGCGTGTGCTCGCGTGTGCGCGTGTGCGTGTGCGCGTGTGTGCGCGTGTGTGCGCGTGCGCGTGTGTACGCGTGTGTGCGCGTGTGTGCGCGTGTGCGCGTGTGCGCGCGTGCGTGGGCGCGTGGGCGCGTGGGCGTGTGGGCGCGTGTGCGCGAGTGTGCGCGTGTGTGCGCGTGTGTGCGCGTGTGTGCGCGTGTGCGCATGCGCGTGTGTGCGCGTGTGCGCGTGTGCGCGTGTGCGCGTGTGTGCGCGTGTCTGCGCGTATCTGCGCGTGTCTGCGCGTGTGTGCGCGTGTGTGCGCGTGTGCGCGTGTGTGCGCGTGTGTGCGCGTGTGCGCGTGTGCGTGTCCGCGTGTGCGCGTGTGCGCGTGTGCGTGTGTGCGCGTGTGTGCGCGTTTGTGCGCGTGTGCGTGTGTGCGCGTGTGTGCGCGTGTGCGCATGTGTGCGCGTGTGTGCGTGCGTGCGTGCGTGCGTGCGTGCGTGTGTGCGTGTGTGCGTGTGTGCGTGTGTGCGTGCGCGCGTGTGCGCGTGTGCGCGTGTGTGCTCGTGTGTGCTCGTGTGTGCGCGTGTGTGCGCGTGTGTGCGCGTGTGTGCGCGTGTGTGTGCGTGTGCGCGTGCGTGTGTGCGTGTGTGTGCGTGTGTGCGCGTGTGTGCGTGTGTGCGTGTGTGCGCGTGTGTGCGCGTGTGAACCCGTGTGCGCATGTGTGCGCGTGTGTGCGTGCGTGAGTGCGTGCGTGCGTGCGTGTGTGCGCGTGTGTGAGAGCGCATATGCGCGTGTGTGCGCGTGTGTGCGCGCGTGTGCGCGTGCGTGCGCGTGCGTGCGCGTGTGCGCGTGTGCGCGTGTGTGCGCGTGTGCGCGTGTGCGCGTGTGCGTGCGTGCGCGTGCGTGCGCGTTTGTGCGCGTGTGTGCGTGTGTGCGTGTGTGCGTGCGTGTGTATGTGCTGTGTGCGCGTGTTGCGCGAGCGTGTGCCGTGTTTGCGTTTGCCGTGTGGGGTGCGCGCGTGGTTCGCGCGTGTGCGCGCGTGTGCGCGTGTGTGCGCGTGTGTGCGCGTGTGCGCGTGTGCGCGTGTGCGTGTGTGCGCGTGTGTGTGCGTGCGTGCGCGTGTGTGTGCGTGCGTGCGCGTGTGCGCGTGTGCGCGTGTGCGCGCGTGTGCGCGTGCGTGCGCGTCTGTGCGCGCGTGTGCGCGCGTGTGCGCGTGTGTGCGCGTGTGTGTGCGTGTGTGCGCGTATGTGCGCGTGCGTGCGCGTGTGTGCGCGTGTGTGCGTGTGTTAGTGTGTAAGTGTGTGCGCGCGTGCGTGTGTGTGCGTGTGTGCGTGTGCGCGTGGGTGTGTGTGTGTGCGTGTGTGCGTGTGCGCGTGTGCGCGTGCGTGCGCGTGCGTGCGCGTGTGTGCGCGTGTGTGCGTCGTGCGTGCGCGTGTGTGCGCGTGTGCGTGTGTGTGCGTGTGTGTGCGTGTGTGCGTGGCGTGCGTGTGTGCGCTTTGCGCGTGTGCGCGTGCGCGTTGCGCGTGCGCGTGTGTGCGCGTGTTGTGCGCGTCGTGTGCGTCTGTGCGTGTGTGCGTGTGCGCGTGTGTGCGTGCGTGCGTGCGTGCGTGCGTGCGTGTGTGCGTGTGTGCGTGTGTGCGTGTGTGCGTGCGCGCGTGTGCGCGTGTGCGCGTGTGTGCTCGTGTGTGCTCGTGTGTGCGCGTGTGTGCGCGTGTGTGCGCGTGTGTGCGCGTGTGTGTGCGTGTGCGCGTGCGTGTGTGCGTGTGTGTGCGTGTGTGCGCGTGTGTGCGTGTGTGCGTGTGTGCGCGTGTGTGCGCGTGTGAACCCGTGTGCGCATGTGTGCGCGTGTGTGCGTGCGTGAGTGCGTGCGTGCGTGCGTGTGTGCGCGTGTGTGAGAGCGCATATGCGCGTGTGTGCGCGTGTGTGCGCGCGTGTGCGCGTGCGTGCGCGTGCGTGCGCGTGTGCGCGTGTGCGCGTGTGTGCGCGTGTGCGCGTGTGCGCGTGTGCGCGTGTGTGCGCGTGTGTGCGCGTGTGTGCGTGTGTGCGTATGTGCGCGTGTGTGCTTGTATGCGCGTGTGTGCGTGATTGCGTGTGCGCGTGTGTGCGCGTGTGTGCGCGTGTGTGCGCGTGTGTTCGCGTGTGTGCGTGTGTGTGCGCGTGTGCGCGCGTGTGCGCGCGTGTGTGCGTGTGTGCGCGTGTGTGCGCGTGTGTGCGCGTGTGTGCCCATGTGCGCGTGTGCGCATGTGCGTGTATGCGCGTGTGCGCGTGTGTGCGTGTGTTCGTGTGTGCGCGTGTGCGTGTGTGCGCGTGTGCGCGTGTGCGCGTGTGCGCGTGTGCGTTTGTGTGCGCTTGTTTGCGCGTGTGCGCGCGTGTGTGCGCGTCTGTGCGCGTCTGTGCGCGTCTGTGCGCGTCTGTGCGCGTGTGCGCGTGTGCGCGTGTGCGTGGGCGCTTGTGTGCGTATGTGCGTGTGTGCGTGTGTGTGTGTGTGTTGTGCGCATGTGTGCACGTGTGTGCGCGTGTGGGGGTGAGGGTGGGGATGGGGGGTGGGGATTGGGGTGCGTGTGCGTGTGTTTGTGTGTGTGTGCGTGTGTGCGTGTGCGTGTGCGTGTGCGTGTGCGTGTGCGTGTGCGTGTGCGTGTGCGGGTGCGGGTGCGGGTGCGGGTGCGTGTGTGTGTGTGCGTGTGCGTGTGCGTGCGCGTGCGCGTGCGCGTGCGCGTGCGCGTGCGCGTGCGCGTGCGCGTTCGCGTGCGCGTGCGCGTGGGTGCGTGCGTGCGTGCGTGTTTGTGTGTGTGTGTGTGCTCGTATGTGTTTGTGTATGGTTGTGTGTGTTGGTGTGTGTGCGTTTGTGTGTGGGTGGTGTGTATGTTGTGTGTGTTGTGTGTGTGTGTGTTTGTGTGTGGGTTGTGTGTGTGCTGTGTGTGTTGTGTTGTGTGTTGTGTGGTGTGTTTTGTGTGTGTGTTGTGTATGTGTATGTGTATGTGTATGTATGTGTGGAGTGTGTGTGTGTGGAGGGGGGGGCTCGACCCCTTCCCCACATGTTGGTACTCGTGCGCATATTGTGGCGATCGCAGCGCACCCCCGCCCCGACGAGCCCCACCCCGCCCAAGCGTTACCCTCACCCCGGGCCCCAACCCCCCACCCCACCCCACCCCCGTGGGTGACGACCGTTACCCGAAAGGACTGAACAACAAAACAAACAATCTCGGGGAAGCGGGCAGAGGAGAAGGAGGAGGAGGAGGAGGAGGGGGAGGGGGATGGGGGAGGGGGAACAGAAGCAGGAGGAGGAGGAGAAGGAGGAGGAGGAAGAAGAGGAGGGGGGAAGGGCGAGAATGAGGAGGAGGGGGCTGATGTTGACAACCATTAAGTGGAATCCGACCCTGCCTCGCTCTACCCCTCAATGCGCGATGACAGGCGGCCGCGCACTCGCACGAGGGAGGCTCCGCCTCTACCCCCTGCTCCCGTTGCTGCTGCTGTTGGCTTCCATTGCGCTACACTGTTGGCGGGCTGCCCGCTGGAGGCACCCCGTGGACCCAGGGAGGCCCAAAACAAGGTCTTCCCCTCCTCAGTCCGTGGATGCTGCCCTTTCAACATCCGACTCCGGCGGTGTTGGTGGCCATCCGACGAGAAACCTACATGGCAATTCCTAGCCGAGCGACGCAAATCTCTCGAAGCGTAGGCCCCGCACCTCGCACATCCGAGGTAGAAGTCCTTCGCATCAGCTCAGAAAAAGGATACGTTCAGAGCGTGTCCCCCCTAGAAGGAGCACCCGTGCAAACCTAAACCCTACAGATATTCATGTTCATGGCCCCCTGCAAGGATGCATTTTCACTGAAGGAAGTGTCCATTGCAAAGCAACCGATTGAAAATCCCGAACTGTGCCGCGAATGACCGTTGTTGTTGCATTTCTACGATTCTTGTGCCAGAACACCACACGTGGGATTTCAACACCACGGATCGAAGTAATTGTTGCGCCTTGACAGTCCGACATCTTGCCAAAGCATTATTTCTGGGACGATCGCCATGATTCTAATATTTGAAAGTGTTGTAAATGCTTTGCACGTACCTGCGCGGCGCTGAAGCAATAGCCATATTTTGAAGATGAGGTACAGTCTGTCTGGCAACCCGTCGCTGGATCGGTGCTGGTGCACGCGTTCCTGTCCTAGCAGCGATGCTGGCTGGTACACTCGCTCGATCGATGCTTCAACTCGGGCAAGACGGTGACAGGCAGCATTGGGTCTAGTCTGCGCGCCTCTTTCGGAGGCTCCCCCCGCTGCACAGCGCCAAGAAGGAAAAGGAAGGAGGAGGAGGAGGGAGGAGGAGGAGGAGGAGGAGGAGGAGGAGGGAGGAGGAGGAGGAGGAGGAGGAGGAGGAGGAGGGAGGAGGAGGAGGAGGAGGCAGAGAAGGCGCGTGGCCTCGGGCACGCCCACCAATGCCGCCGAGCCGCTGCTCACTGCGGCCGCCGCCCGAGGAGCGGGCGAAGGCCTCGGCCGAGGTCCTCGGCAAGGACGGCGGCTGAGGGCCCGACGTGGACCGAGCCCGCGGCGTGGGAGCCACGGCGGCGTGATGCCCTTCACGGGAGCCTCAGAGGGTCCCAGAATTCCTCGCAGTTTGAGGGATGTCGTCTGGACGTCGTCGGATTTGGTCGACTTGGGCGTTGCGTCATGGGAGGCCGATTAATTGGGAGGCAGGGAGGGCTGCAGAAAATGTGCCCCAAAGGGGGCCCTCAGGGCCCGAAAAGTACACCTCTCTCCCCCCCATGTATCACTCCGCCATTAGACGTCTAGGCGACAACTGGACGAAACGCGCGGATTTTTCGGATCGGCGTTGGACCCCCCTCCTTGGCGCGCGGAGCGCGCCAGGGGGGGCGCCGGAGGCGCTGCCAGGGGCCCCAGTGCCGATCTGAGGAATCCGCGCGTACCTCCGAGTTTTCACATTTATGGGTCAGCCACTTCCGTCTGGCTAACCTGGGGTTTCAGAGTCATGCGGGGCCGATTTCCCCTTTCCGCCATCTGGTGACCCAGGCTTGGGAGCTGCTAAGCGGACGGCCAGGCTTCGCGACATTGCCCTGGGCGACCCGGGTTTGTGTTGACCCGGGTTAGTGCGTCCCCGAGCCCACCGGCTGTTGTACGACTTATCGCCTCTCAGTGGCCTTCGTGGAGTCATCCTACGGGTTCTCGGGGACATCCCTGGCTATCCTGAGTTCTCGCGGGGCCAGCTTGGGCAAATGTAGAGCCCTCTTGGTGCCATCTCAAGCCCCTTGGGAGCCTTCTCGGAGCCAGGTCGGAGCCCCCAAGAGGTTTTCTGTAAAACCCCTTGTCCACCCGAAGGTTCTCTGGGGAACCTCTTGGGGCAGTTGGTTCCAAAACGGCCCAAGAGAGCTCCGAAATGGCTCCAAGACGGCTCAAGACGATTCTCAAGAGGGCCCAGAATTGGTAAGTTGGCCCTAGAGTGGTCCTAATAGTTCCCTAGATGGCCTCAGTCTGGATACGAGAGGCCACGAGAGGCTCCAAGACTGCTCCGCGTACATCTCCCGAGGCAAAAAAAATACCCTGGCGACGTACCCAACCCCTGCGCAATGCGGGGCAGGAGTAGCTTGGGAGATTTGACGAGAAGGTGGCAACGTGAGATGGACGCATATGCTTCTGCGAGCGGCAGTCGGAAGGTTCGCAGGTCCCCAATCAAGGAAAACAAGATGAGTAACTAAATAATCCCCTGAGTCACTAAGGCTAAGGAAGACGCAAGGTCCAAAAAGAGACTGGGCAAGGGGCTCGAAACGTCGGCGAGGCAGCAGCAACATGACATGGTCCCCCAGGGACGGCGAGGTCCCGCTCCAGTCTGCGCAGTGCCTCACTCCGCTGGATCCACCAGCAGCCTTTAAAAGTGGCGAGCCCACCAGCAGCCCTCGAAAGTGGCGACAGTCTCGCAAATCGCAGCCCCCCAGGGACGGCGAGGTCTACCTCAGGTCCGCGCGGTGCCTCACTCCGCTGGACCCACCAGCAGCCTTCGGTAGTGGCGAGATTTTCGCAGATCGCAGCCCCCCAGGGACGGCGAGGTCTACCTCGGGCCTGCGCGGTGCTTCACTCCGCTGGACCCACCAGCAGCCTTCGGTAGCGGCGACAGTTTCGCAGATCGCAGCCCCCCAAGGACGGCGAGGTCTACCTCAGCAGTGCCTCACTCCGCTGGACCCACCAGCAGCCCTCGAAAGTGGCGAGATTTTCGCAGATCGCAGCCCCCCCCAGGGACGGCGAGGTCTACCTCGGGCCTGCGCGGTGGCCTCCCTTGCTGCCGCTGGACCCACCAGCCCTCGAAAGTGGCGACATTTTCGCAGATCGCAGCCCCCCCCAGGGACGGCGAGGTCTACCTCAGCAGTGCCTCACTCCGCGGACCCACCAGCAGGCCTCGAAAGTGGCGACAGTTTCGCAGATCGCAGCCCCCCAGGGACGGCGAGGTCTAATCTGAGTCCCCGCGGTGCCTCACTCCGCTGGACCCACCAGCAGCCCTCGAAAGTGGCGACAGTCTCGCAGATCGCAGCCCCCCAGGGTCGAGGTCTAGCAGTGCCTCACTCCGCTGGACCCACCAGCAGCCCTCGAAAGTGGCGACAGTTTCGCAGATCGCAGCCCCCCAGGGACAGCGAGGTCTACTTCGGGCCTGCGTGGTGCCTCACTCCGCTGGACCCACCAGCAGCCTTCGGTAGTGGCGAGATTTTCGCAGATCGCAGCCCCCCAGGGACGGCGAGGTCTACCTCAGCAGTGCCTCACTCCGCTGGACCCACCAGCAGCCCTCGAAAGTGGCGACAGTTTCGCAGATCGCAGCCCCCCAGGGACGGCGAGGTCTACCTCAGCAGTGCGCGGTGCCTCACTCTGCTGGACCCACCAGCAGCCCTCGAAAGTGGCGACAGTTTCGCAGATCGCAGCCCCCCAGGGACGGCGAGGTCTACCTCAGCAGTGCCTCACTCCGCTGGACCCACCAGCAGCCCTCGAAAGTGGCGAGATTTTCGCAGATCGCAGCCCCCCAGGGACAGCGAGGTCTACTTCGGGCCTGCGCGGTGCCTCACTCCGCTGGACCCACCAGCAGCCCTCGAAAGTGGCGACAGTCTCGCAGATCGCAGCCCCCCAGGGACGGCGAGGTCTACCTCAACAGTGCCTCACTCCGCTGGACCCACCAGCAGCCCTCGAAAGTTGCGAGATTTTCGCAGATCGCAGCCCCCCAGCGACGGCGAGGTCTACCTCAGCAGTGCGCGGTGCCTCACTCCGCTGGACCCACCAGCAGCCCTCGAAAGTGGCGAGAGTTTCGCAGATCGCAGCCCCCCCAGGGACGGCGAGGTCTACCTCAGCTCTGCCTCACTCTGCTGGACCCACCAGCAGCCTTCGGTAGTGGCGACAGTTTCGCAGATCGCAGCCCCCCAGGGACGGCGAGGTCTACCTCAGCAGTGCCTCACTCCGGTGGACCCACCAGCAGCCCTCGGTAGTGGCGACAGTTTCGCAGATCGCAGCCCCCCAGGACGGCGAGGTCTACCTCAGCCTGCGCGGTGCCTCACTCCGCTGGACCCACCAGCAGCCCTCGAAAGTGGCGACAGTTCGCAGATCGCAGCCCCCCAGGACGGCGAGGGCTCAGATCTGCGCGGTGCCTCACTCCGCTGGACCCACCAGCAGCCCTCGAAAGTGGCGACAGTTTCGCAGATCGCAGCCCCCCAGCGACGGCGAGGTCTACCTCAGCTCTGCGCGGTGCCTCACTCCGCTGGACCCACCAGCAGCCCTCAAGTGGCGACAGTTTCGCAGATCGCAGCCCCCCAGCGACGGGGAAGAGAGGGCAGGAGAAGGGAGGAGGCGGGAGGAAGGAAGGTCGCGCGAGCAGTGCTCTATTCAAAACGAATACCCAACCAAGGAGGGTTGGGAACTAACATTGAGTGTTTCACTCATACGTGATATTCCTCTTCCTCTCTTAGGGCTCAGATGGCCTGCAGATGGACTCCGAAGGTCTCCTCCGGGAAGGTTTAAGGGGCCCCGTTAATGCCCCTAGAACCCAAGAGGTCCCCAATATGGCCCCGAGATGGCCCAGAGGCCGCCAGCTGGCCTTCGACACGCCCCAAAGACTTGTCCAAGACGGCCCAAGACCGCCCTTCAGACGGCCGCAAAGTTGTCCTAGGTGGTCCCAAGCCCTCTCGAGGAAGCCCCGAGACCGTGAGAGGGACGCCAAGGCGGCACCGAGAGGGCCCAAAGACGAGGCCAGGTGTTGGGCCACATGCTCACCAAGGTCACAACACCGAACACCCGCTCAGCGAACACACATTCGTGCTAGTTTCCTCCCTAGTGGGGGGGCACCGTGGCTCCCGCTGTGCGAGCTCGATCGCCTGCATATCATTTTTCCTAGCTGTTACCTTCGCTCGACGGCCGAGGCCCGCAGCAGGCACGCGTTGTACTCGGGCACTTCGTGCAACCCGCTGGCCCGAGTCTTGCATCACTCGTGCCACTTGTGTGGGTGGTCGCGAGAATTACGGTAGGTTTGCGTCGTGTCGACCAGCGGCGACCCCAGCGCGGACGTTCAAGGTTGAACGCCGCCGGCGACCCAGAATCGATCGATGTTGAACGATCGGACGTTGCGGCAGCGGCCGATCGTTCAAGGTTGAACTATCCCTGCGGTGTCAAAAACCAACGCTGGGGTCGGCACGACACGAACCTGCCGTAGGAAGTTGATGTGCGATGGCATGTCTCTCCCCGTTGTCATGTGCAGCCCGCGTTGGTGAAACATCGTTCCTGGCCAGTGTGCGAGAAAGGTGTTCCCTGGAGGGGTTTCTCTTCGTTATTGTGCGAAGACAGTGCAGGAGACTTTGGGGTCATATCAAGAGCTCGAGGGGCTTCTAGAGACCTCTGGGAGGGACACGTTCTGTTTCCGAAGAACTGCGGAAAACGTTCCCACCGAAGCTCCGAACAGGAACGTCTCCGCTTGAGTTGCAAGGTGGAGGGTCGGTGGGGCAAGAAGGCGATCGCTTCAGTCAATGGTTGAGCGTGGGAGGGGACGGAGTGAGGGGGCCGAACGGTCATTCATTGTCCCTGCGTGCGTGGCCAAATAAGGAATTCGTGGTGAGAATTCTGCTTGTTGCGCTTTTTGTTGTTGTTGCTGCTGTTGTTGGTGTTGCTGTTGCTGTTGGTGTTGTTGTTGCTGCTGCTGCTGGTGTTGCTGCTGTTGTTATTGTTGTTGTTGTTGTTGTTGTTGTTGTTGTTGAATTTTCACTTCTGAAGAATAATTATTGTTGATCCCCCACCAGTGCACGTTGTATGTTTTCAGTTGGAGTGCCGTTCCCGGGGCTCGCACCTTGTTTTTTTATAAGAACAAGTATTGAGACTCAAATTGGGCCCCTGGCCCCCGGATTACAACAACAACGGCTCCCGCCTGAGACTTTCTCACAATTTAGCCTGGACCCCCGCTCCCGCCTGAGACTTCCTCTCATTTTATTCGGGAATCGCGCTCTCGCTTGGGATGTATTTACAATTTGTTCAGGAATCGCTCTCTCGGCGCTCTGGAGTCGCGCTCTTGCTGGAGACTTGCTTGCAATTTACTCAGGAAGAGCGCCCTTGCATTTGAATTTCCGACACTCAGGCACCCAGGGGTCGCGCTCACATCTAGGAGTCCCTCGCAAATTATTTCGGAATCGGGATCTCGCTGCCCTTCGTGGCCTCGTAGCAGCCCTTCGTGGCCCCCTCACTGCCCTTCGTGGACCCGTTGCACCCCTTCGTGGCCCCCTGGCTGCCCTTCGCGGCTCCATTGCAGCCCTTCGTGGCCCCGTTGCAGCCCTTCGTGGCCCCGTTGCAGCCCTTCGTGGCCCCCTCGCTTTGTTTCGTGGCCCCGTTGTAGTTCTTCGTGGCCCCCTCGCTGCTCTTCGTGGCCCCGTTGCAGCTCTTCGTGGCTCCCTCGCTGCCCTGCGTAGCCCCGTTGCACCCCTTCGTGGCCCACTCGCTTTGTTTCGTGGCCCTTCGTGGCCCCATTGCAGCCCTTTGTGGCCCCGTCGCTGCCCTTCGTGGCCCCGTTTCAGCCCTTCGTGGCCCCCTCGCTGCCCTTCTTTTCCCCGTTTCAGCCCGTCGTGGCCCCCTCGCTGCCCTTCGTGGCCCCGTTTCAGCCCTTCGAGGCCCCCTCGCTGCCCTTTTTTTTCCCGTTGCAGCCCGTCGTGGCCCCCTCGGTGCCCTTCGTGGCCCCATACATGGATGCCCTTCGTGGCCCCCGCTCGTTCGCGCCCGTCGTGGCCCCATATGCATGCCCTTCGTGGCCCCGCTGTCGCCCTTTGTGGCCCCCTGGCTGCCCTTCGTGGCCCCGTTGCTGCCCTCAGTGGCCCCGTCCTTGCCTTCCGCGGCCCAATATACGTATGCCCTTCGTGGCCCCCGCTCGTTCGCACCCATTGTGGCCCCATGTGCATGCCCTTCGTGGCCCCGCTGTCGCCCTTCGTGACCCCCTCGCTGTCCTACGTGGCCCAGTTGCTACCCGCAGTGGCCCCGTCGTTGCCTTCTGTGGCCCGGCATTACCTGCCTTTCGTGGCCCCCGCTCGTTCGCGCTCTTCGTGGCCCCATACGCATTCCCTTCGTGTCCCCGCTGTCGCCCTTCGTGGCCTACTTCGTGCCCTTCCTGGCCCTGCTGTCGTTCTCTCTCTCTCTCTCTCGCTTTTGGTTTCGCTCGTCGCCGTCGTCGCCTTCGTCGTCATCGACGTCGTCGTCGTCGACGTCATCGTCGTCGTGGTCGGTCCCCTGTCCGTCTCCCTTGGGGTCAGATTGCCGCCGATCAGCGCTGCCGCTGGCCAGGCCGACGGTCCGCGGCCGCCCCGCCGCTTGCCAGGGCCCGGCCTGCAGGGAAGAAAGGTATACCCCCCAAAAGGGGCACGGTCGAAAACGAAGAGGGCGGGTATCGAGGGTTTGGGAAATACGCGTTAACGGACACTCGGGCAGATACGAGCGAACAGTCTTAAAATGATTGTTGCTGTTGAATTTTCATTTCTGAAGCTCAAGCTGGGCCCCTGGCCCCCGGGTTACAACAACAACGGCTCCCGCCTTAGACTTCCTTGCAATTATGCCAGGACCCCCGCTTCCGCCCGAGACTTCCTCGCAGTTGATTCAGGAATCGCGTTCTCGCTTGGGACTTCTTACAATGTGTTCAGGAATCTCTCTCCAGGCGCTCTGGAGCCGCGCTCTCACTGGAGACGTGCTTGAAACGTACTGAAGAATAGCGCCCTTGCGTTGGAATTTCTCGCAATTAAATCAAGCGCCGCGCTCACGACACCCAGGCACTCAGGAGTCGCGCTCACGCGTAGGACTCCCTTACAGATTACCTAGGAATCGGGATTTCGCTGCCCTTCGTGGCCCCGTTGCAGCCCTTCGTGGCCCCCTCGCTTTGTTTCGTGGCCCCGTTGCAGTCCTTCGCGGCCCCCTCGCTGCCCTTCGTGGCCCCGTTGCACGCCTTCGCGGCCCCCTCGCTGCCTTTTTTTTCCCGTTGCAGCCCTTCGTGGCCCCCTCGCTTTGTTTCGTGGCCCCGTTGCAGTCCTTCGCGGCCCCCTCGCTTTGTTTCGTGGTCAAATGTTAGCCCTTCGTGGCCACGTTTCAGCCCTTCGCGGCCCCGTTGCAGCCTTTCGTGGCCCCGTTGCAGCCCGTCGTGGCCCCCTCGCTGCCCTTCGTGGCCCCGTTGCAGCCCTTCGTGGCCCCCTCGCTGCCCTTCGTGGCCCTTCGTGGCCCCTTGGCTGCCCTTCGTGGCCCCGTTGCTGCCCTCAGTGGCCCCGTCCTTGCCTTCCGCGGCCCAATATTCGTATGCCCTTCGTGGCCCCCGCTCGTTCGCGCCCGTTGTGGCCCCATGTGCATGCCCTTCGTGGCCCCGCTGTCGCCCTTCGTGGCCCCTCTCGCTGTCCTACGTGGCCCAGTGGCTACCCTCAATGGCACCATCCTTGCCCTTTGTGGCCCCGCATTATCTGCCCTTCGTGGCCCCCGCTCGTTCGCGCTGTTCGTGGTCCCATACGCATTCCCTTCGTGTCCCCGCTGTCGCCCTTCGTGGCCTACTTCGTGTCCTTCGTGGCCCTGCTGTCGTTTTCTCTCGCTTTCGCTCGTCGTCGCCATCGTCGTCGCCGTCGTCGTCGTCGTGGTCGGTCCCCTGTCCGTCCCTCTTGGGGTCAGGTCGACGGTCCGCGCCCACCCCGCCGATCAGCGCTGACGCTGGCCAAGCCGACGGTCCGCGGCCGCCCCGCCGCTTGCCGGGGCCCGGCTTGCACTGAAAAGTGGTATACCCCCCGAAAGGGCTCGATCGAAAACGAAGAGGGCGGGTATCTAGGGTTTGGGAAATACGCGTTGTTGGACACTCGAGCATATAAGGGCGAACGGTCTTAAAATTATTGTTGTTGTTGTTGACGAAACCACTCACTGGCGCCGGCCCCAACCCCCCCCCGGCGCAACGCAACGCAACGCAACGCAACGCACGTTACCCGGAATCCTGTAGGATTCCGATGGGGATCCTATAGGGTCTCCGCGAACCTTTCCAGGAATAGTATAGGAATCCCACAGGAATCCCGTAGGGCCTCTGCGACTCCGATGGGAATCCCACGGGAATCTTGTAGGAATCTGATAGGGCCTTTCTACGAATCCTATGGGAATCCCATAGGAATACCATGGGAATCCTATGGGGCCTTTTACGAATCCGACAGGAATATTATAGGAAGCCTGTAGGAAACCTATAGGGCCTTTCAGGATTCCTATGGGAATCCCATAGGAATCCCATGGGAATCCGATAGGGCTTTTAGGATTCCTATGGGAATCCCATAGGAATCCTGTCGGAATCCTATAGGGCCTCTTACGAATCATATACAAATATTATAGGAATCCTTTTCTGGGAATCCCATAGGGCCCCCACGAAGCCTATAGGAATCCCATGGGAATCCCGGAGGAATCGTATAGGGCCTCTACGAATCCTACAACGATCCGATCGGGTTCCTATGGGAATCCTAGAGGGTCTCTACGGATCCTATAGGAATCCCATTGGAATCCCATAGGAATCCTATATGGCCTTAGGAGTCCGATGGGAATCCTATAGGGCCTCTACGAGTCCTATGGGAATACCACAGGAATCCTACGGGAATCTGAATTGGGCTTCTCCCATTCCTACAGGAATCCCTTGGGAATCCTGTAGGGCCTCTACGAACCCTATCGGATTCCGATGGGAATTCCATAATAATCAGATTAGGGCCTTTACGAATCCTATAGGAATCCGATAGCAAACTCAGGAACACGATACGGCCTCTGCGAATCTGATCGGATTCCTATAGGCGTCTCGTAGGATTCCTATAGGGCTCTTACGAACCCTATAGGACTCTTAGAGGAATACGATAGGAATCCCATAGGGCCTTTACA